AATATTTTGAATATAAGTATCTTCTTTATTATTTATAAAAATTTTATATAAATTCTTCCCACAGTTTCTATATTTAGTTTAACTATAAAGTATATGGAGGCAAGAATAAAATATTAAGAATACGTTTCCTGTTAAAGATGATTTGCTTTGTAGACAGAAGCATTATCTAAAATAAAGTAAAAGTTTCTTACTCCATACTTTCTGCTACAAATTTATATTATTCGAATTAGAAAATTCTTAATTATTACTTGAATCTGCATTGCATTTTGCAACTTAATAAATAAGGAAATCTTCCACAATAGTTTCTATTACTCTTAAATTGTAATTATACTTTCCAATTGCTGTTCATCTAAGACTGTCATAAATATAATCTTGCAAATTATAATTGTTATTATTATAAAAAAAGATGCAATAAGAATAAAAGTATCATAATGAATTTTTTAATGATGATGCTTAATAACGATCTTATAAAATGAAAATAAGATTGTATCCATTGGTTTTTATTTATCCTAAAGTTTTAATAGGAGTTCTTAATTTCCAATTATTTATTTTTGAGTGGTTTTCAAAAGTGTAAATTTAATCTTGATGTATAAAATGCAAATAATAGATAGAATTAATATTTATTGGGATGATCATCTATCCCACCTTGCATTTGGCTTTTTTTACTCCATCAAGAAATTAATACTTTAAGATCTTAATATAAATTGTATGTTCCTATAAATTTGTTAGGAATTTCATTAATTATTAAAATCCATCAATTAAATTATTATGAAATTATCTGAGGATAAAGTAATAAACTGATGAAAATATTAATTTTTATTTTAAACTCCTTCTTTATTCTCATAAAAGTGGAGAGAATATTTATAAATTTTTAGATTAGTTCATAATTATCATCTTATTTCTGAAATGATTCTCATGGCTGCAAAAAATTCAGAAACAAAATAAGATGATAATTTTTACAATATTTCAATATATATAAAATAATTATGACCTTTAGAAAAACTGGCCAAAATACTTTTTGTAAATAAATGATGATTAAACTTTATAAGGAGGAGACTCTTATTTTTTTATTGGATAAATTATTGAAATCTTTGTTGGTATGCCATTCTAATTAAGAATCCATGTTACATAATTTGAAATCTATTAGAAGGATTTTTTCTTTCATCCAATTTCTACAAATTATATTACAATATCATTGGTTATATTTATATTTTCTTACTATAATTTAAAAAACTTTTTAATAATAAGAAACAAAAGCAAATCATAAAAAACTTAAATATGTTTTTTTTTTTGATAGCATTAAATAATAGGTACATTATAATTCTGAATTTTTAAACAGATTATTTTGATTCTTTATTAATTGATTGATATAATTTTAAATTATAAAAAATAATTAAGTTTATTACCTAGTATTATCTCTTTGAATTGCTTTCCACTTGAAAATTTTAAAAATATTTTTTTGGCTTAAGTCTATTTCATATAGCTTTTTAAATTCCAAATTATTACTCTAAATTCATTTTAAAAATCAGTTTTGAGACGTTCAAAAGAAAGGATGATAGGCATTGCTTATTCAGAAATAGATATAATTTAAATATTAAATAAATATTCTAATTTTATTATTAAAGAGAATATATATTTGAGTTATTAAATTAAATCATAAGAAAATAAATAAAAAATAGTATGATGACAAAGAAATGAAATTTTTACTCTATGCAAGTTCTACTATGTTTTTTCCTTAGACCTGGAAGTTATAGAGATAAATTATGGCCCATAACAGCAATTTCATAAATTATGGTCTGAATTAATAGAGGCCCAAACTTAGTAGAAAAAAATGAAGGTACTCAAATACTTATATAAATTTTAAAATATTAGAGATGATTAAACAAGTATAAAGACTATGCAAAGAGCTTTCTATATAAATAAAGATTATCTAAATTTCCATAATTAGGATTATCACAGATAGACTAATAATAAAAGGCATCTATTAAATTGAAGCTTGTGAAAAAAGTTATTTAAACAACTCAAAAAATCAATCGAACAGATAAAATTGATTGTAAATTAACTACTTAAAAAAATAAAGAATTTAACAAATATAAAGTAGAATCATATTTTATAAATTCAACACATCAATATTGATAAATATATTTTAGAATCACCAAAGCAACTATGTAAAATAAAACCAAATCAAAACCATTCATCTTTAACCTCATAAATTAAAATTCGAATAAATAAAATGAATGGTGTTAAGCTATTGCATTTTAATAAAGATTAATTACTCGAAGTAGCTGCATATGATACGGATATTAAATTATTTTAGCATTTTTAAGGGAAATTGAGTTAGATATAATTATTAAATGGTCATACAAATTGTATATTCAATTAAATTTCATAAAAAATACAGATAATTTTGTATCGGAATTAAGATATTTCAATTCTAATTGGTAAATGATTGAAAATAATTAAATTGTAATACTAATAATATAATACTTAAAGTCAAAAGGCTTTGTGCTGAATGACAATGGCAAGAAAGTTAATTTAATCTGAAGAAAGAAATTGAAAACTTTATAATATAATAATCTATTTATTTTAGTATTTATGCTATTTATAGGCTCATTAAGTGATGATATGGGGAGTATTTGATCATTTGGAATGATATTTCAATGGAGATACAAATTAGAAAGTTTAAAGAATTATAAATATTATAACATATAAATTATGAAGTATTTATTTTTTTTTTTATATCATATTGGTTGCTTGCATTCTTATTTATAAAGATTAAAATTAATTATGTTTTTTTACATTATTGATTATAGATTTCATATTTAAATTAATTTTTCAACTTGTTTAATTAAAATAATTATACATTTACATTGATTAAATAGATAGTTATTATGCTTTGTTTTTATGGTTTCTTATTTTATAATATTATTTAAATAAAAACATAATGATCACATGAATATAATTGATATCTTAAAATATCTCAGATTTATTATTAGATAAAATAAATCATAAAATTAATTAATTATTTATCAGAGTAAAATATTAATAATTCTACACATATTTATAAAAATAAAAAAATTTATAAACCATTTAGTTTATTGATGGTGTTCAACAAAAAAATAAAGAAATTATATTATAGGATTAATAAAATAATAATATTTATTATTATAAATTAATTTAATATAAGAATGCTATAAAATTTAGGAAATTACAGGAAAAGAATAACAGAAATAGTTTCACCAACTTTTTTTAAAGAACGAAAGATTTCTGAAGTAGTAGAGTAATAACCACCAATTATTATAAATAATCGAATAAAATCTTTACATTTACCAGAAATTTCATTATTGTTGAATAATTCTATTGAATTAGATTTCACTGGATGTAAAACAGCTTAAATGAATCATACAAATAAAATTAATGTATTTTAATAATATGATTAATTGAATGAAGGATCATTAATGAAAAAATCTGTAATTTTATCTATGAATTGTTCACCAAAGAATCGTAAATTATAAAGAAGAGGTACTTTATTTTTGATAGATGAGAATGAATAAAAGAAGTATGAATAATGGGTTAATAAGTTAAGAAAGAAAACAACAGATTATTTTGTTAATATTATTTTGAATCATTATATTGAACTATTTGCTTCTATTTAAATGAAACATCACAAACATTTAATTGATATTTATTGTGAAGTTGGAGAATAAATATTATAAAGTCCAATTATATTAATTCGATTTACTTTAGTTATTGGATCATACTTTTTAGAAATTAAAGATTTTAATAAAAGTAGTTTCTTATCTAAACAATTATTTATAATTACTAAAATGTTATCTTTATATAAAGAAAGATCTAGAATCATGTTATTTATTTCAAAGATTTGTTAATAAGGATAATAATATGAATAATCATTATAAATATTAGAAGATGGATTAGTATATAGTTGGTTAAGTGATGGATCAGAAGAAGAAGCTTAAATATATGAATCTATGGGTATTTCATTATTTTATATGTAATAATAAAAAAAAGCTAGAATATTTCATTTTAAATATGTTAATGGACATTTAGAACCACATAATTCATAATTAAGAATTTCTATTATATAATAATTATAATTAACAGAAAAATTATTAAAAGAAAAAGGAGAAAAATAAAATGAAATTAATGAGGCAGTTATTAATAGATTATAATTTCCATTTTTAAAAAGGGAAAGAAATAAAATAATAAAAAAGATTGATATATCTTAATTTGAAGAAAATATTAAATAAATAATAAGTGAATTAAGTTAAGTAATTAAATATGAAAGTATATTATTAAGAGATAGTTAAATTCAAAAACCAATGATGAAATTAAGAGATTTAGGAACAATTACTTCAAAATATTTAGAAATGAAAAGAAAGAATATTAGATTGTAATGGAAATAAAGAGAAAGAATTAATACAGTAACTTTAGATAAAAATATAAATGAATATATCACATAAAGAAATAAATCTATTATTGATTGTTAATTATTGTTTAAACGAATACATGATAATATTGGATATAAAAAAGACAAAGAATTAGAGCCTATTCTTATTCATTAAACTCAAAAGAAACCATTGATTTTGTAAATAAGAAAAGTATTTGAATAATAATTATATGATTGATTAATATTTTACAATTATTTCAACCATATATATCTAAGCATTTTTATTTATTATGTTTAATAGGGATTGATTTGAACTTTGTTGAAGTAGAATTATTTATGTCTTATGTGATTTAGTATTACTTTTATTCTTTTTACATAAATTTAAAGTATATCAAATTATTATAGGATAAATCTTTTAGAGAATTAACTTCGTTCACACTTTAATTGAGAGTAGATGATATATTTATTATCTATCAAAAGAAATTTTAATATTTTTTAGAATATATATTGATATGACAACTCTTTGTTATTTCTTTATATTTATATACTGTTGCATTTAAAAACAATGTAGCTACTGTAATCGATAAATAAATTATCCTGAAAAGAAATTAAGATTCAGAGTATTTAAATTTTTTATTATAATCAAAGAGAAATATTAATTCAAATTATAATTAAAAATACAAAATGTTAAATTTAATCTAAATTCTTTGATAGTTTTAAGTTGTAATATTAGCAATATCTTCAATTTTAATGGATAATAAATCATGAGATTTATAAAAAACAATCCAGGAGATTTTTTTTATCATTTGTTAAAATAATTTAATATATATTTATATGGGTTTAATGGATGGTAATTCATACTGCTAATTAAATATCATAAAATAATAAATTGGATTTATTTGAGGTTTTAATATATAAGTTTAGATGATAAAACTAATAGCAAATATAAAGTAATATCGATCCAAAAACAATTGGAGGATTCTATTTATAGATTTTAAATCTGTACATATGAAATTAACTTAAATTATTTCAATACATGAAAGATAAAAAAGTAATGGAATATAATTAGTTTGAATTTTTTATTGCAATGATCTTCTATATAAGATGGATAAAAACTTAAATATATATATACAGATACGTTTCAGAGAAATAGAAATCGTTAAATAAGTTCTATTTTTCGAGTAATAACATTAAAAAAACAAAATTATCAGGGATTAGTAATATATCTGGAAATATAATTGATGATACAATTTAGAATTTGCAAAGTAGTTAATAAGAGATTTAATAATATTAAAGAAAAAAACAATATAGATATAGAATAAATATTCAAATGTTTATAAATGAAACATTTAAAATATATACATAAGATTAAAAATGAATAATTATAGTTATTATTATGAAATATCTAATAAAATTACATATATAATTAATATACTACTGAATTAGCAATAATTAATACACGAATGTACATTTAAAGTCGAAAATATTTAGCATACTTTAGTTGTTAGTAAGCTTTCTATTTAATAAACCTTTTCATATTCTAAAACATATTATAAATTTAATTTGCTATCAAGTTCCTTGATAATATCCTAATAGATTCAAAATCTACTATATTACCTTCTAACACAAAAGATATAAAATTAATTAAGCATTGATTATTGATCTATATAATATGGTTGGGATTTTCAATTTTATTCCAACAATATTAAAATTTTATGTTTCATATTTATATATAGATTAATTTATTACATATACTTAATTCTTTAACAATCATTATATTAATTATCAACTATTTTAGTTTAATACTATTTTATACATTTAATTATATCATCTACAAATTTAACTTATTATTAAAAAGAATCGTTTATTAAACTTTAAAATATTAAATACGTAACAAAAGACAATGTAAATCAATCAGTTATTTATTATTTTCTAAGTAGAATTTTATTTTATTCTATTTATTATTTCTATTATGATGAAATATTTATAATATATCAAGTTGTTATTGAAAAATTATGTTTCAAATAACCTATATAAATATATGATTATTAAGCCTTCTGTTTTTCATTTTTTTCTTCTATTAAAATGGAAAATATTAATAAGATTAAAAAATCATTTATATTTTTATGGAAATAAGATTGGATGTAACTCTGGTGATGCCTTCAAATATTAAATAAAAATAGCTGTCAATTGAAACATACACGAAAGTATAAGAATTATATGAATTTTTGTCATAAGAATTTAAGTAATTGAATATCTAATTTTTCAGTTTAGCTAATTATCCAATGTATTAATGGACTTGTTTCTCTAAGTGGTTAAAAAAATATTTAAACTTTAATGAGATATTTCAATCCTCTGATTAAATTATAATAATAACAACAAGTGATAAAATAGTTTTAAGGATTGTTTCGACAAACTCTTATTTTACAGAAATTATGGCATTATTTTCTATTGATAATACAATAAAAGATATCATGGAAAGTGTCTATAGCTTTCTATTAATAGATAAGTAATTATATTAATATATCAAAATAATAGTAATGATGCTTTGATTAACATTTATTATGAATAAACTTTATTAAATGAGTAGCAAATAATAAGATAAATCATTAAAATGAGTAATATAATTGAAGTTGAATTAAGATGGATTTAATAGCTACTAAAGATTCCAACATAATACGATATGATAAATAATGTACCAATGTGTGATACTCATTTTAATTATGCAATATCTTAAATTTGTACTTATAATCATATATGTCCTCAAAGAAAACTGTGTAATTTATGTCCCTATGATAATCATTAAGGTACAAATAAAGACTCTTTCATTCCATTTTAAATATTTGCAGAATAATTAAATAATAAATTTTAGAAATATTCAGAATTAAAATCATTCAAAAGAATTATTGAAAAATAATTTAAAGTTTTAGAATCTAATTTTATAGATTTATTATAAAGTTAAAAGAGAAATGTTATGAAATGGATAGAAAAATATGAAAATAATATTTCAGAATTTTAAATCATAAATGAGAAATTATAAAGCGAACCTTTATTTTTTTCTTCCAATTAATAAATAGAATAAATGATTGAAATTGTTTATGAAAAGAAACTAGGAATATTATAATAGTAAAGAAAAGATAGTTTAAATGATATTTAAAATATAATCTTTAAAATTAAAAGTTTAGAACACTAACTATCATAAGAATTATAAGGAATATTTGATTCAAATTATAAAGAGAAATATAAATAAGTTGATGAATAAAATTAGATTGATTGGGCAACGCTGACAATTGATGATTCAGTAACAATAAAAGAGTTATTAGAGTATTTATAGGAAATTAATCCTTAAGATTTTTCTTAATATATAAATGTTTTTGGTCCTTTAAATGAATGGATAGGATTATCGAAAGAGAATGGTAAAGTTTTAAGTGGTTCAGACATTTTAAAAGAATTAAAAAAAAATGATAGAATTAAATTTGGTCCAATTCATTTTATTATTATTTCTAATCAGTATGGAGAAGTAGATTTGGAAGCTCTATTTTTTAAATTAAAATAGGATTATAAACCTTAGTAAGCTTATCCATTTGAACTATTTCTATCAACAGGTTAATAATGAGTTAAATTTTTAGGCATATCTAGAAAAATTGAGTAGATGATATATTTATTATCTATCAAAATAATATTTTCCAATATTTTTCAAAATAGGTATTTCTTTAAATTTGTATAATATTAAATTTACAACCAATAAAACAATTAGATAAATTTATTACACTATAATTATATTTAGCAAAATATTCAAATCAATCATTAATAAGTTTCAATCATATTCTAAAAAATAATTCAATTTATTTTCATAAATATTTAATATCTGTAACAGTTTTCCTAAATATATAAATAAAAAAGTAAATAAGCGGCAAAATATTATTGATATATATGGATTATTGTAATTTTTCAATATTTTCTGTTATTGATAATAGGATATTCTGAATAAAGATTAAGATTTATATTTTTAAATCTTTTAATTATNAATTATAAAGCGAACCTTTATTTTTTTCTTCCAATTAATAAATAGAATAAATGATTGAAATTGTTTATGAAAAGAAACTAGGAATATTATAATAGTAAAGAAAAGATAGTTTAAATGATATTTAAAATATAATCTTTAAAATTAAAAGTTTAGAACACTAACTATCATAAGAATTATAAGGAATATTTGATTCAAATTATAAAGAGAAATATAAATAAGTTGATGAATAAAATTAGATTGATTGGGCAACGCTGACAATTGATGATTCAGTAACAATAAAAGAGTTATTAGAGTATTTATAGGAAATTAATCCTTAAGATTTTTCTTAATATATAAATGTTTTTGGTCCTTTAAATGAATGGATAGGATTATCGAAAGAGAATGGTAAAGTTTTAAGTGGTTCAGACATTTTAAAAGAATTAAAAAAAAATGATAGAATTAAATTTGGTCCAATTCATTTTATTATTATTTCTAATCAGTATGGAGAAGTAGATTTGGAAGCTCTATTTTTTAAATTAAAATAGGATTATAAACCTTAGTAAGCTTATCCATTTGAACTATTTCTATCAACAGGTTAATAATGAGTTAAATTTTTAGGCATATCTAGAAAAATTGAGTAGATGATATATTTATTATCTATCAAAATAATATTTTCCAATATTTTTCAAAATAGGTATTTCTTTAAATTTGTATAATATTAAATTTACAACCAATAAAACAATTAGATAAATTTATTACACTATAATTATATTTAGCAAAATATTCAAATCAATCATTAATAAGTTTCAATCATATTCTAAAAAATAATTCAATTTATTTTCATAAATATTTAATATCTGTAACAGTTTTCCTAAATATATAAATAAAAAAGTAAATAAGCGGCAAAATATTATTGATATATATGGATTATTGTAATTTTTCAATATTTTCTGTTATTGATAATAGGATATTCTGAATAAAGATTAAGATTTATATTTTTAAATCTTTTAATTATAATTAAAGAGAATATTTATTCAAGTTATATTTAAAAACATAAAATAATAGCTAAATTCAAAATTTCCTAAAGAGTTATATTAATTTGTTCTGCGCAACAATTCATTTTTCTTCTTCTAATACATCTCCTAAGCAACTCTTAGATTTATTCGCATCCAATGTTAAACCTTTTTTAAATTTATTCATCCAAATGATAAAAGTTAAAGCTCTTATTCTATTGAAAAATACTTATCATTGAAAGTAGGTGTAACCGAATTAATATATAATTCTAATCAAATCTTATAATATTATAAATACAAATCAAATCTAGAAATCAATTACAGTTACTTTTTAAGAATATCAACAAATAAAAAAATATATTAAATGTAAATAACATAATATATTTAATAAAGCTTTATATTTTAGGAGAGATGCCAAAAATATATAAAATCGGTTTTCATGGAAGAAGTGGTTTATTAAGTTAAATTCAGAATCTTAAACCAACTTAAAAAGATTGTACTCAAACGTGTTCATTCAAAGGACGTAGTATATATTCAAAGAGAGAAATAATATGATCTATAGTTTTAATAACATCAATTTTAAAATAATTAATTTATAAAAAACTATACTTTTAATAATATATCATATATCTCTTTGTTTCTTGGTTTATTTGACTAATAATACATAAGCAAAGTTAAATAGAAGCAATTCAAGTAATTTCAATGGTAAACTATTTAACAATCCTATTTGTTATTCAATCATTTAGTTTGTGTTTAGAATGGATTAATTGTAATTTAGAATTTACCATGAATCTAAGAGTATATTAGAAATAGAAGAAACTATAAGAGCACCAACAATTTAATGTCTATCTGAATGAAGCTTATTAAAAAACAAAGAGGCAATTCCAATTATTTAGCATCCAAAACTGCCTATAAATACAGAAAATAATGATGGTCCAATATCAAATTCTTAAGTGAGTATAATCATTGAATTCATATTTATTTATTAATGACCTCTAAATACTTAATGATCAATTTTTATGGGATTGATATAATTATATATGATTTTTGATATGAGTACATTATATCTAACATCTGTAAATTAAATGAGCACAAATAGGAAAGTAAATTAAATAAAATTATATGAGTAATTAAGTTAGAAAATGACAGTAACGTCTGATAAAATAAAAAGTATGGTTAGATATAGTACTTTAATTTTTCCTTGATTAAAATATCTTGGATCAATAATGCATAGTAAGAATATGAAAATGATAAGACTTAACAATAGAGTTCTTTTGAATTCAAATTCACTTTAACCCAAAAGGAAAAAGACATAAACTGTAATTTATGAAATTGCTACCATAGCAAATAATAGAGATACTCTCCATTTAGTAAAAGTTTATCCCGATTGGATGTAGGTATAAAATTTGATCGCTAAAATGAGCAGGAATTGTATTTCAATAGAGAAGAGAAATTCTGGAATATATTGCATATAATGAAGTTGAATAAATATGACTATTGCTAATAACTTAAGAATCCATTTAAAATTATATTCTTTCTTTAAGATTACTAAAATTAATAATCCAATAAATTAAATTTAAGTTCCAAAGAAGCCAGTAGAGACTATGATAATGATTTGTTAAAATGCCCATAGAGTTCTTATGGTATAGATACTAAATAATAATAACATTATTCCAATAATAAAGGTATCTTTTCTTGGTAGTCCAACTTATAAATTTCTTTAAACATGACTAATTACTTAATCAGCAGGTACTAATTTTAATTCTTGAATGAAAGTAGATGATATTTTGAATGATTGTGTTTCAAGATATTTGAGTACTTATTATTTGATAGTTTCTTAATCATTTTAGATTTCAGATTGATTTGTATTTTTAGGATAAAATTAAGGAATAATTTTACCAAGATTTTAACTTGTAGGTGAATATCCTAAAAGTGATGAAATAGTAGCTGATAAATCTGTTGGTTCATAAAATGGATAGATTTAATCATTTTGAAATAGACCATTGATATTGAATGCAAATATAAATCCTTCACATTCATATGATTCTTGAGAGCACTAATAATGTTTTCCTCTTTTACTTTGATCATGATCACCAATAACAACTAATAGTTAATTATTTTTAAGATTATTGACAACACCTTCTAAGATAGAATTATATATTCTTAATAATTATATTCCTTTATCATAATCTTAATATTATAATGCATGTCCTAATGCATCAAATCCCATCATATGAACAACATATAATTAATAATCTGGTTCTGGTTTTTAGAATGATTGTTTAAAAAATTAATAAGATGAGACATCTGCTATTTATATATTATCTAAATTAAAAAATTAAGGATTTTCAATATAAGTGAACTCCCCTGAACTCATTCTTAACCAATCCTATTTTTTACTTGAATATAATGCTGTTTCAAATTGTTTTCTTAAAATAGAATCTTCATATGGTGCTGGATATGATTTGAATATAACATCTAGATTATTTTACATTTATTTGATTCCATTTATAATACTTAATATAGTAAAATCAGTTGATGGTGGTACTGCTTTAGTCTTTTATAGAAATGAATGTTCTGGATAATTCTATCTTAATTCTTTCAATAGAGTAATAGTTTAGAATATTTAATGATCTCTATTTTCATTGATAATATATCGATATCCTGTAGCATCCAAAAAAAACAAAATAATTTAATCATACATTGGTTATCTATGTGCACTTATTTCATTTATGTCTATTATAGGTGTTCTGAACCAGAATGTTGATAAAATTATTAAGAAGCATCCTATCACACTTAAAATAAATTAAGAATACATAATGATTAAAATGTGAATTAAATTTGTTATTTATATAAAATCATTTCACAATCTTGATCTCATTCTCATCATCTATTTCATTACATTCTCTAACAAATTCTCTTAAGACCATATCTTAAAATTAACTTTTAGTTCTCTCTCTCCAGCTTTATTCAATTCCTATTTATTTATTATTATTATCATACGCTCATCAACGCTTCTCTCATTAATAATTTCCCATTAATTACACTGTTCCTATCCATCTATTCTAGTTATTCACATAATTTATAAGCATTAGTATACATCTCCTCTTTTGTTTTAAACATTCTCTATGCAAATCCATATTATATTGCATCTTTAGATGACAGTCTCTCTCCATTTACCATCAAACTAAATGCTTTACTATGTCCAAATATTCTTGGAAATGTATATGATGAAAACATCTCGTGACCCTATTCATTTATTTTTATTCTATAAATATATACCTATCCAAGTTATATCATTGGAGCTACAAAATAACAGTCTTCTGTCACTAGTACTTAATCAAATAGAGCCAACATTGGGAATAAGAAACCAAATACACCATTATGACAACATCCTATCAGAGTCTTTGGAAAATGTAATATAGCATTGTTTAATCCTCGAATCAATTCTACTAATTCAGTTGCGAATTGAACCCTTTACTAAAACAATCTAGAACATTACATTACCTCTTCGGTTGTAAGAGTAAATAATGAAAAGTTTTTCATATCATTACCTGAACTAAACATTTTTCCATTTCCCTTAACCAGTACAACATCAACCTTTTAATATATAATTTATTATTGTACATTATCATCTTCGGCTGCTTTTTTAAGAATGTCTACAAATTATAAGTACATTCCTAATGTGAAGCTATTAGCTTAATTTGGTCTGTTTATCGTCACCATTAAGGTTTTTGAATTTTGTTCTAAAATAAATCCATCTGGTACAATAGTTTACTCAACTACAGGTCCTACAATTTAACTCATTTTATTTAATCAAAACTACTACCTTTCTTTTCTATATAAATTCACATCTAAAAAGATAATTCGTCATATTGATGACATATTATTTTTAATTACAGATTTAAAGATTTATTTGTTAAATTTTAAATATGTATATTACGATTCAAAGCAATATAATTAAAGCATTTGTTTTTACTCTTATAAATGAATAAATCATACAATAAAAGTTTTTTATTACACCATTATTTATTTAAATAGCCTAGTAATTACAATATTTGAAAAAAAAATTGCCAACATCCATCAAATCTATACTTTTTTATATTTAAAATCAAACTCACCAGCCATAATTATTTCAATCTTAAATAAGAAGATGCATCTTAATTAGATGAATTAAGAAGGATGTCATTCAAACAAGGTATCATTTTATTCATTGTTCTTGACATTTATCTCTCAAATAAAACATGATTTACAAAAATAATATTATTTAATTTAACTTTTCAAATTAGATAGTTAATAATTAGGATCTTAATTTATTAACAAGAATCAAATAAAATATATTTATAAATAGAAATTAAAGTCAATACCTATTCATAAATACTTCAAAATAAAAGAATAAGAAATTTATTAAAATTTATAATTATTTTTTTCCCTATATAAATGTAAAAATCATTCAGATCAGAATATAAGATAACCCAAAATAACTGTTGATAATCCAAGAATGTATCCTGAGTCAGTTGTTGTCTAATTATTTGTATTATTGTTATTTGTATTATTTGTATTATTTGGTTAAATAACCACTGCAGTGCAAACTCCACATTTGCTTGTAGATGCATTCCAAGTATATGTATATCCAGAAACCAAGAAGCAATCATTTGATGATAAAGTTGATGGGTCTGTGGCTGTGCATGCTCCACTAACCAAAGTACAAATTTATTATGTCTTTTTATCCCAATTCAAGAATCTTGTACAAGCTCCGTTAGCAGCTTAATTAGTTGCACAAGTATGAGTGGCACATTTACTTGGGACAGCAGTTGCTCCAGTACCAGATGCTGAAGTCCATGAACATCTATCTCTGGCAGTTTAACAAGCAACTTAATCATTATTTGCAGTGGTGCATGCTGTCATTAATTAACATGTTCCTGTACCAACAGCAGCTCCTGTAGCAGTTGATTAAGTGAAAACACAAATACCATCTAAACCTCCTGAATTACATGCTGTCTTTGTAGTATAAGTTGAGCAATTAGCTTTAGAAATACAAACAGTTCCATTTGAAACGCATGATGACAATGCTACTGAACAAACATTTGTTGCTGTGCCATTTTGAATATCAGCGCAAGTTAACAATCTACATTTAGCAGTGTTATTATTTGTAGCTGAGGCAAGTTCCCAATAGCAAACACCATCGGATCCAACAGCAGCTGTACAAGCAGTTTAAGTCGTGTATGATGAACATGTTCCTTTGAGTAAACAAGTTGTTCCATCTGATGTACATGTTGATAATTGAGAAGAACATGTTGCATGTGTTGTACCAGTCAAATCAGTACATGATTAATCTCTGCAATTATTAGCTGTTGCATCCCATATACAAATACCGGTTGAAGTAATGGCTCCAGATGAATAAACAGGTCCTTTATCATTAATATAACATCCTGCTAATGAAGTATAAGATGAGCAAGCTCCTAATGCAATACAACTAGTTGTTCCATTAGTTGTACACTTATTACTAGCAAATTAACAATCTTAATGAGTTGTGTAGAAAGCATCAGCACAAGATGTATATGGTTTACAAACCTTTGGATCGGAAGAATTCAAGGCTGGTACTGATTGAATACAAGCTCCATCATATCCTGTTACACATCCACCAACAGTGTTGGTTTCAGAACATAAAGTAATACCAATACAATTTGATCCATTTGTTGTGCATTAATTACTTATCCATTTACATTATATATCAGAATTCCAAGATAAGCTTCTACAATTTGTATATCTGAAGCAAGCTCCTCTAGATCCATCAGGATGAATGAAATCATTGATCCACAAACATGGGCCATTTGTTCCTTCAATGCAAGCACTTCTAATTGTAGTTTGTTCACAATTTTAAACTCTGGCACATTTACCATTGGCTCCAGCAGTACATCCAGGTCTTTAGCCTTAGCAAGCAGCATGAGTAGTTCCACTGAAATCTTAGCAATCCTTATCTCTGCATTTATTTTATGCACTATCCCAAGCACAAACGGTTCCATTAAGAGCAGTTGTACAAGCGGCATCAATAGTAACGGCTGAACAAGTAGATTTAGTAACACATCCACCACCATTCTTTGTAGTACAATTAGTGAAATAAGCTGCACAAGCTGCTTCAGTAGTTAAAGCAACTGGAGCAGTATTACATGTTTTTAATGTACAATAGGCTTAATTATTTCCTACAGCTGGCATCCATTCACATTGTTGATTTGTTGCTGAAGTAACACAACCAGCTTAGCTTTAAGCTTAGAAGCAAGATCCTCTGGTTACACAATTTGTTCCATTTGTAGTACATGTGTTTAATGCTTATTTGCATAGGGCATCTGTGGCGAAAGCAAAATCTTCGCAAATCTTTGTCTTACATTTTACTGAATCTAGAGTGCATCCAGCCAAATGATCATGACATTGTTCTGGAGTAGATGTTTCTTCTGGAGCATTTTCACAAGATCTTGTAACACAACCTGTTCCATTCCAATAACATAATCTTCCAGACTTATCAGAAAAACATTATTTTTCTATCATAGTTTCACATGTATCTGGTATATCAACACATCCTAATCCTGACTCTGCGGCTGTCACTGTACATTTATTATTGAAATAAGCTCTACATTCATCGTTATCATCATACAAATCAGTTGCAGGTGCAGTAGCACATGACTTATCTGCACATTAACTACCATTCCATCCACAAGCTTCTCTATTAGCATTGTACTTGCATTACTCTTCATGTACATAAGTATTGCAAGCTGCTGTTTATTAACAACCTCCGAGACTTAGTACACCGCTATTTGCATCAGCTGTGGCAACTACTGTGCATTTAATAGTAGCGGTAGAGAAATATTCATTACAATCATTGTGGGTTGCTGTTGAAGTTGGAGCAGTAGTGCATGATTTATCTTAACATACTGCTTAGGCAGAATTTGTATTCCAAACACAAACACCACCGCTTGCATTTGTTCGACATTAATCCTCTATTTAGTAAGAACTGCAAGCTCCTCTAGCCATACAACCTTGGGCAGCAGATCCATTCGTAGCTCTAACTGTGCATGTTGAATCAACTGCTGCACATTTAGCATGATTATCATATGAAGATGTGGCCTCAATATTACCACAACTAAAATCAACACAAGTCATTCTGGTTGGATTCCAGAAACACCTTGAATTACTTGAATTGAATTTACATTACTCACTTGATTGATATGTGGAACATGCAGCTCTCGCTTAGCAACCTCCTTATGTTTCAATTATTGCAAAAGTACACTCAGATAAATACCCAATGCATTCCTAATGAGTGTCATAACTAGAACTGACAGGTGCTGTATCACAGGTTTTTCTGACACAAGATGTTCCTCTAAAAACACATTCACCTTCTAATGCCCAAACGCAGGTAGCTTAAGTCGAATATTCAGCGCATGTATCTTGCATAGTTACACATGCAGTTGGTGAAGTAACAGAATTTGCAGTACAAGTATCCAACCATTCATAACAATCTGTATGACTGAATGGTGCGGTTTTATTAGCACATGTTTTGGATTAACATCCTGTTGTACCTAATGCTATACAACCAGATATAAATTCGTTACATTTTTCATCAGAGTAATTTCCAGATCCCAAATATAATTAATTGCATGTTGTGATAGGTGTTATGTTACTGCATGAGTTATCAGAACTATTAGCAGTGCAAAGTGCTTCACTTGATTTATAACATTCACTCATTGTTGTGTATCCAGAACATGTCGATTGTTTTGATACACAAGCTGTTCTACTTCTATTTACACTACAGCTTGTATGATATTGTTAACAAATATCCCAAGTTAGATTTTAACCTGTACGGTTTGAACATCCTTAAAAACTTTCGCATGCAGTACCTGCTTAATTAGCAATACAATCAGCGTTATATACTTTACAATGTGAATGAGTTGCATTTATTAATCCTGTAATAGTAGGACAATTTGCTGCAGCGAAATCTCCACAAGCAGAACCACCAGCATCCCAAAAGCAATATCCACCCTATCTATCTATCGAGCATTTAGCGTCTGAATCATACTCAGCACAAGTTACTCTTGATTCTTAACATGCATCTTTAGCTTTATTAATAGTGCAATTAATGGTATAATATGTGCAGTCTGAACTATGTGCATTTATTAATCCTGTAATAGTAGCACAATTTGCTGCAGCGAAATCTACACAAGCAGGAGTACTATTCCAAAAGCACTTTTAACCATTGGCAGCCGACGAGCATTTTGCCTCTTCAGTATAGCCACTACAACTTGTTTATGATTATTAACATCCATTTCTAGCTTTATTCGTAGTGCAACTAGTGTGAATATCTTTACATTCTAAATGAGTTGCATTTATTAATCCTGTAATAGTAGCACAATGTGTGGCATCGAAATTTGCACAAGCACTTCCATTCCATCCACATCTTGTACCTGATGTATTTGTCGAGCATTTTGCCTCTTCATTATAGGCGCTACAATTTGCTTATGATTCTTAACATGCATTTCCAGCTCTATTAATAGTGCAACTAGTGTGATATTGTTAACAAGTTGAATGAGTGGCACCAGATAATCCTGTAAAAGAAGCACAATTTGCTGGAGTGAAATCTGCACAAGTACTACCATTCCAAAAGCATTTTCCACCACCTACTTTAATTAAACACTCATCAGATGTACTATAATTACATGTTGCTGATAATGTAATACATGCAGTTCGACCTCTATTAATAGTGCAAGAATTACTAATTCTTTAACATATTTAATGAGTATTATTTGGCTCAGTCAATCCATTTAAAAGCGAACAAGAAGCTATACAATTACTTGTTGCAAGAGCATTTACAGTATTTGTACAACCTAGTTTTATTTCTTCGCATTAAGTTTTAGTACCTGTAAAAAATTCGCAGGAATTTTATCCAATAGTTGACATAGAAATACACGACCCATAAGATGGTTTCCAAACACAATCATCGTAGTCTGAACCTAAAGTTCTATGACATGAAAGTTCTGATTCATAGTCACTACAATTTTCAAATTATACAACACATTTTTATCTTCTAGTTATAGAACTAACTGTGCAAGTTTCGCTTGGAGTTTGATAAGCTTAACACTCTGCATTTGTCAATAAAGAAGTATCTGCATCAGAACAAGTTGCATTTCTACAGGCTGTACCAGTCCAAATACAAGTTTTTTGAGCAGAAGTAAATTTACAATTCTCAACCGAACCATAAGAAGCACAAGTAGCAGCTAAATTCTAACATCCTGTTCTGCCATTATTCACTGTGCATGAAGTCAATACACCTTAACAATCAGAGTGAGTAGTTAATGCAATATTTGTGCATGTTTTATCTACACAGCTAGATCCAGTCCAATAACAATCTCCATTAGTTTTAGATCCATTTCTACAATTTTAAGAAACTAAACCTGAACAACTTGAAGGTTTAGCGATGCATCCATCATTATTATTGTTTGAAATGCAACTGGGTAGATAATTTGTGCAACCAGAAAATGTAAACTATCCAGTTGTTAATACACCTGTTGTTCCTGCTTGACTAGCTGTGGCACAAGATTTCTCAACGCATGTAGATGTATTTGTATTCCATAAACATGTTGGGAAACTATTTCTCGAGATTTCACAATTTTCTATTGATCTTCTAGCCGCACAAGTTGTTGGTAATTCTTAACATCCTGAAATAGATCCATTAACAGGATTATTAGCAACACAACCTGATTTATAATTATCACATTCAGTTGTTGTCGATGATGTTCTAGGAGCAGTAGAACAAGCCTTATCAATACATTATGAACCATTCCAACCACAGGGTGGGTATGACTTAACTCCATTTGTAACTAATAATCTAATATTACAAGCAGATTCAATTGTAATAGCCTCACATTTAAGGGGAAGAGGAACACATCCAGAACCAGTATTACTCAAAGTACAACTTGAATCATAAATCTAACAATCAGCATGAGTAGCTGTGGTTGATGAAGCTAACACGCATTCTTTTTTATAACATTTTCCTTTCCAAATACAAACTTTGTTATTCAAATCTTTATCACAAACAGCTTATTCCAACGTATTTTCGCATGTTTTTTCTACACAGCCTGAATTAGTTGAATTTACTGTGCAAGTTGATAAAAAGGCAACACATAAATCATGAGTAATATTAGATGATGGGGCATTTGTACAAATTTTATCTTTGCAGCTTGAACTTGCTTCATCATAGAAACAAGTAGCTCCTAAAGCATTCCTAATGCAAGCTGCTGGTGAAGTAATATTTGAACATGTAGTGTTAGTTACACATCCACCTCCATTCTTTGTTATGCAATTTCTTCCTGGTAAATAAGCTTCACATGCATCATTAGTTGTTATTGTTGTAGGAGCATTTGCACAAGTTCTAGGTTAGCAACCACCTCCTATTTTAACAGTACAATCTGATAAGTATGATGTACATAACTCATGAGTATTATTGGTAGTTGGTGCATTTTAACAGGTCTTTTCTTTGCATGTAGTATCCCAAATACACTCAACTCCAAAAGCATTTCTCGCACAAGCTGCTTAGATATTTGCAGCTGAACATGCTCCATTAGTAACACATCCTCCACCTGATTTAGTGATACATCCTGTCACAAATCCACCACAAGCTGTATTAGTTGTCATAGTAGTTGGTGCATTTGTGCATGTCTTATCAACACATGCAGTTCCAGTCCAATAACAATCCCCACCTGTACTATTCTTAACACAAGCAGCTTAGATAGTAGCGGCTGCACAAGTAGTTCTAGTTACACATCCTCCATTAGCTTTTGTTGTACATGTTCCATCAGTTCTAAAGGTTTTGCAAGTTTCATCAGTTGTTAATGTTACTGGTGCATTATCACAAATTTTATCTTTACATGCTGCTCCATCCCAATGGCATGCCATAGATCTTAATTTATTCCAAACACATTAAATTTCTAATGTTTAATCGCTGCAGTTATTTCCACTGTCAACACATCCACCTCCAGTCTTTGTTGTACAAGTTAAAATTTGGTCTCTGCACTCCTTATCTGTAACAAATGTTGTTGGTAATCTTTCACAAGTATTAGCATCTACACAAGTATTATTTGTGGTATCCCAATAGCACAAGCTTCCTGCAGCATTTTTTACGCAGGGTAGTTATTTCTTGTATGTGTTACAAGCATCAATTTCAACACAATGAGTTCCATCTGTGATACATCTATTACTAATGGCTTAACAATCAGAATCAAGTGTTTTTGCAAAGGCTGTACATCCTGTGAAGAAAGTGCATGATTAATTAACCCAAGCACAGGCAGCATAATTACCACAATCTGTACAGGGTTTAGCTTTTGGACAATCTGCTTCAGCAAAAGTATCACAATATGCTGCATAACTCACTGTTGGAGTGACTGGAGTAGTTGAAACTGCACATGCTTTCTTTGTGCTATCCCAAGAACATCCCAGTTAAGTATTTTTTAAACAATCTGCTTCTGATAACAATTATGCACATGTGCATGATGCTATACTATATGTTTGACTAGTTGCTAAAGTCAACAACAATGCAAATATGATGAATTATTTATTCATTAAAAGTATTATTTTTACCAAAAGACTTCAATCCAGTTTAATTAATATGAAAAATTAATTTATTTTCATTTTATTCTTACATCTGAATATCAAATTCAACCTGAGTTCAGTTTTAATTTTTTAATAATTCGACATCATTTATATGTATATTTAATGATCTTTAAAGAAAATGAGAAATTTTCTAAGTTTATGAAGAGAAGCCCTTTCTAATTTTTTTTGTCATGAGTACTTGAGCTTAAGATTAAATATCGTTTTTCATATATTCTCTCTTATTTGTATGATCATCAGTCTCTGAAGAAAGACATAATTAAGCAAACACATAAATATGACTAATTTGACTTATGCTATATTCATGCCCTTCTTTATTCTTGCTTAGGTTATGAAAATATATGAAGAAAATGAGAAATTCATATGAGAAAGAGATGAAGAAAATGAGAAATTCATATGAGAAAGAGATGAAGAAATAAAATTTTATGTTAATACTCATAATTGATTAATAGAAGTCACATATTCAATATGCTTCTTCCTTGAGTGGGTCTGGTGGTGTTTTTTAATGGCAAAAATAATTCTTCTTGTGACTTAAAAATTCAGAATTTTAAAAATCCCTTTTTTCTTCTTCATCCCAAAATTTCATTAGAACTCAATTATTAATAAACAAGTAAAGAATAATAATTACCTTTAGAATAAATTCTATAGGGACATGATGTAGAATTCTCAATAATAAGAAATATATAAAAATTTATTTATTTTGTTACTGAGGTCTTTATGATTTTATCATTTTAAAGATAGGTTGATAGTTCAATAATGAGATGAAGAATTTAGAAAATTTCATAAAATGGGAACCTTCAAAAAGCGAAAAAAATAAAAGAATTTTTCATTTGATTTTTATTGTATTTCTTTTATTTTAATACTTTAAAAAATTTTCAGTTAGCCTTCTTAGAATATTCGGAAAATATTATTTATATCAATATAATGTAATAGCCAGTCGAAGTTGCAAAGTCTAGTAGTTTCTAAATTCAAATACTCTAAGAAATCCTATCAAGAACATTATAATATAATTCTCAATAAATAATAATAATTTAAAAGCTAAGACTTAAAATAAGCGGTAAAATAATTTTAAATATCATAAATTAGGGATGGCTTAATTCTTAACTATTGCAATTTGAAAAAAATTATTTCAAAATTTAATTCCTTTAAAAATATATATTATATTAATCATAGTCTTGATGATATTAATGAATAATAGTGAAGTAAAAAAAAAGAGTAATCAAGGTAAATTATTCAATTCCTTTAGCTGAAGCTTGTTCTAATAGTGGATGACATATCATTTTAAATGTATGATACATCTCATCACTGCTTTGATCTAATGAATTATTTCTTTCTTGTTATTAAAATATTATATACCTTACATTAGTTTTATAATATAATGAGGTTCTTTTATTATGTTTCAAAAGTATAAAGGTTCATTTTCCATTAACAAAAGCCTCGAAGGCTAATCATCTAATATATTTCTGTCTTTGTACTATAGTGAATTTGAATGATGAATAATATATTTTTTTGAAATAAAAAATAATTGTGTAAATAGTTAAAGTTTAAGAAATCCTTTTTATCAAAGATCAAGCAGTTGCTCTTGAGAGCCTCAAGGTTTCATCAATAATAAATAATGATATTTTCTTCTCGAACATTTTAGATTTGTAAGATCTTTTTTTTCAATAATCAGAGACAAGAGAGTATCTACAAGCTTTCCTTATTCTATTTTGAGTTAATCAAATCATTTACTTATGAAAGCTTCAAAATTTCCAAAAATACTTTTTATATTAAAATCTCAAAAAACGCTATTAATTTCATTAAAATTTCTTAATCCAAATGAGAAGAAATTTTTTTAATCAATGGATTCTGTTCAATTATAAATGAATTATAAATTTTTATTAGACTTATATACTCATCTGAATAAGGTTGAATAGATTTTCAGTTTCTAATTTTAATTTAAGCTATTTTTATTAACAACTCTAATGGAAAGACTTTTCTTCATATTCACAACTAATTAGAATGTAGATAGTAGGCTTTTTTGGTTAATATTTCAAATCCNAAAATTTTCAGTTAGCCTTCTTAGAATATTCGGAAAATATTATTTATATCAATATAATGTAATAGCCAGTCGAAGTTGCAAAGTCTAGTAGTTTCTAAATTCAAATACTCTAAGAAATCCTATCAAGAACATTATAATATAATTCTCAATAAATAATAATAATTTAAAAGCTAAGACTTAAAATAAGCGGTAAAATAATTTTAAATATCATAAATTAGGGATGGCTTAATTCTTAACTATTGCAATTTGAAAAAAATTATTTCAAAATTTAATTCCTTTAAAAATATATATTATATTAATCATAGTCTTGATGATATTAATGAATAATAGTGAAGTAAAAAAAAAGAGTAATCAAGGTAAATTATTCAATTCCTTTAGCTGAAGCTTGTTCTAATAGTGGATGACATATCATTTTAAATGTATGATACATCTCATCACTGCTTTGATCTAATGAATTATTTCTTTCTTGTTATTAAAATATTATATACCTTACATTAGTTTTATAATATAATGAGGTTCTTTTATTATGTTTCAAAAGTATAAAGGTTCATTTTCCATTAACAAAAGCCTCGAAGGCTAATCATCTAATATATTTCTGTCTTTGTACTATAGTGAATTTGAATGATGAATAATATATTTTTTTGAAATAAAAAATAATTGTGTAAATAGTTAAAGTTTAAGAAATCCTTTTTATCAAAGATCAAGCAGTTGCTCTTGAGAGCCTCAAGGTTTCATCAATAATAAATAATGATATTTTCTTCTCGAACATTTTAGATTTGTAAGATCTTTTTTTTCAATAATCAGAGACAAGAGAGTATCTACAAGCTTTCCTTATTCTATTTTGAGTTAATCAAATCATTTACTTATGAAAGCTTCAAAATTTCCAAAAATACTTTTTATATTAAAATCTCAAAAAACGCTATTAATTTCATTAAAATTTCTTAATCCAAATGAGAAGAAATTTTTTTAATCAATGGATTCTGTTCAATTATAAATGAATTATAAATTTTTATTAGACTTATATACTCATCTGAATAAGGTTGAATAGATTTTCAGTTTCTAATTTTAATTTAAGCTATTTTTATTAACAACTCTAATGGAAAGACTTTTCTTCATATTCACAACTAATTAGAATGTAGATAGTAGGCTTTTTTGGTTAATATTTCAAATCCTGATACTTATTAATACTAATATAGTGTTACAAATTGCATATTCTACGATATATTGATTGATATTGAATATCATATGTGATATATCCTAAATATAGAATCAAGGTTGTGAAATTAACAAGACTTAAGTATTGATAAAGTTTAAATTAATATAATTAATAGGTCTATCGAAATATTAAATCAGCTTTATAGTGATATTATAATAAATTCAGTTTTCTGGAGAACTATTTTCTGTTTAGCTTAATTCACATTATTACAAATTATCTGTAAATAGAACACCAGTTTCATTCCTTCTAATCCATGGAGCTTCAGGTCTACACTCAATTGATTATGCCTAAAAGTATAGCCTATTAGATTACATTTAATGATTAAATGATTATGAAATCAAATCTTGGTGTTATATCTTTTGGTTATGGAATAGGCAATGAAAAATATGGATAAATTGTATATTGTGTTGACACAAATGGTTATAACTTAATTGTATCTGCTAACATAATTTCTATTCCTTATGCATTATCAGACAAAATAAATTCAGTTTAATCAATTAAAAGATTTCTTATTGTTAATAATACAGGTTTCTATTCTGAAATTTTAATTAATTATTCAAGTTGGGTGTGAGAATATTTATACTTCTTCAGCATCATCCAACAAAACATAATATTATAGTTTGTAATATAAATTAGAGTATCAGATTTAGTCTACTATAAGCATCTTTCAAATTCCTATATAGCTTCTTAATATTTCTGTAGATACAAGTAACAAATACCCTTGTATTAATGGAGATGCTGTTTATTAAAGAAAAAGGAGGATTAAGGATCAATTTTTTTTTGTAATGTTAAGATGGCTAAATCATATTCATATTTAAGGATTTGTTCAAAAGCAACAATCATATTTTAATCAAATAATTTATCTTTAATTAAATCTTTAAATTCTTGACCATCAAATTACTCTAGTTAAAATAAACAAATAGCCATTTGTTATGTATGCTCAAGTGTTAAATTAGGTTCTTGTTTATAAGTTTTATAAGCATCTTCATACATCTTATTATTATAAAGGAGATTACCTGCACTTAAAAAATCATCTACATATTAGATATAACTATTCATATCATCAAAAGCTGATTGTATTTCACCCAAATAAGAATAACATTTAGATCTTTATAAATAGGCTTTCTAATATGATTCATCAATGCCAAGACAAACAGAAAAGTCTTAAACAGCATTAATGATATCTCCATTTAATGCTAAAATTAATCCTTTCAAATAATAATGATCAGCTAAATTTTCATCAGCCTTTTCAATAGCTGTTATTATTTCTTTATAGGCATCTTCAATATTATCCATTAACATATAAGTTAATGATTTTAGATACATTAATTAAGAATTATTCTGATTATATTATTAGGCTCGAATTAAACATTATAATGAATTATTAATATAATCAGAATTCTCTTACTTAAAACCCTCCTTAATTAATAAGATTGCTTTGTACATATTTGGATCGATCTAATTGTAACTTATAGCTTAATCAAATTTAGAATAGGCAATTTCAAATGAATTAAAATTAATTATGCCTTCACATATGATTTAATTATATGGTAATGAATTATTCTTTCTAAAATCTACCAATGCCTATTCAAAATTATTTAGCATCATATTCAAATATCCAACATAAGAATAATAGATCTCTAAGATTACAGGAGGAATATCAAGTTATTATAATTACTTAAATGCATCATCTGCTTGGGAATGGTTCTTTTTCATTAAACAAACAACAGCTTCAGAGAATTAGATATAGGGTTACAATTACTACTTATCTACATCTAAATATTCAGTTCTCAAAAGTGTATGATACAATGAGTAAAAGTCTTTAGATTCTATTTTGAATTTGCTTATTTCAATCATTGCTTTAGAAACAGCACTTTTAGAATTGTTGTTTTGAATGGCTTATTCATAATATAATTAGCTTTCTTATTTTTCACCAAGCTTATATAATATTTATCCTTTCAATTTGTTAGCTTCTGATGATTATTCATCTTGACTTAAATACTAATTAAAAGAATAGAATACCTAGTCAATCATTGATAAAGCTTACTGATAATTGCCCATTTCATATAAACATACAGACATCTTAAGAATGCTCAATTTAGATTTCTCACTTGTATCAAATTGCAATGATATTTAATAATTCTTAATTGCAAAATCCAAATTATTTTGTAATCGTTAGCAATCTCCCAGATAATGATATCCAGTTGATCTTTTTGAATTTATCCTAATAGCAGATTTAAAGGTGGATTCACAATCTTAAAATCTTCTTAATTTTAGTTCCAACTTACCTTTAAAGATCAATGCATCATAACATTAAGGATAAAACTATAAACATTCATCTAACTATTATGAATACAAAAATTAATACTGTTCTAATCGTCCAATCAAGTTACATTAACTTTTTATAACCAAGTGCAAGTATGATATATACATTTTTATTATAATTTGGTTATTGTTCTTTAACAAATTTAAGTTCTTTAATACATTTATCATATTAATTTAAAGAGAAATGACAAACACCCAACATATAACGACTTGGTATATGTAAAGAATCTAATAAAATACATTCATTGTAGTATTTAATTGCTTCAATTAAATTCTTTTCTCTGAATGCATTTTATCCCTATATTTGCAATACATAAAAATACATATTAGAAATTTGTTACAAGATTGCCCATAAAATCATTTACCTTAGAACCTCTTAATACACTACCTGAATTTTTGAACTTTAGATTGGAATTTCTTCTCTTTTAAAATTCATAATCAAAGCTTGAATTACGAGATGTTCTTATATTGATTGTATCATTGAAAATGCTGTACTTTTTGTAATTTTTTGGGCTTAATCTAGGTTATAAACTCATTGTAATATAAATAATTTATAACTAACAATTATCATTATTTATTTAGATAAAAAGTAAAAGTCTTTTTTTTTGAATCACTTCTTTCCTTTACATCCTAAGATTTACTTAATATAAAAATACAGTTTAATTATGATAGACTTCAGTTTAATAATTTCCGAAAGCTTCCTAAAAGTTGGATATTCTTTTGTTAATGCTCTATTAAATATATAATTATATCACAATTATATTTTACCTTGATTAGATGAAAACATTTTCTGATCAATGGATGGTTTGCTCTCACTTTCATATTCACTTTAAAATTCTTCAGGTTTTGTAATCTGTAATTGTTAAAATATTTATGGATTTTATTCTCTCAATAAATTATATTAAATAGATGATAAAGTATTCATTAATTAACTATCTATAATAATTTATTATTGTTCCTATTTATTCTTATATTTGACTAATTCTTATTGTAATAATTTTAATTAGATCAATTGATCAATACTAAAAGATTCTAAAAGATTAGTTGAAATATTTAATAATTGTGATAACTTTTAATCACTTCTCAATTAAGATCTCTTTCTTGAAGGAGAAGAATAACTTCTTTCTTATTTCTCTGATTCTTCCACCTCTAAAACTCTATTAATATTATTTTCTAAAATAATAGCTTATAAATTTGTATTTTATTATTTATTGTAAATCTATTCTTAAAGTTTTTGATACAAAATCTAAATAAGTTTAGAAACTCTTTCAATTTCCTAATGTTATGGATTTTTGAGCAATTGCTTTCTTATATTAAAACATTCCTACAATCTACTATAAGCATTTTAATGTTCATTATATTAAATATGTAATTTGCCTAAAGTTTCTAAACAAACAGCAGCTTGTAAAGAATTCTAACCAATAATCTATCTTCTTAATTTTAAAGCCTTCTCTAAAAAATCTATAGCTTAATCCCTCTTATTCTATTGTTTATAGATTACACCCATATTATACCAACAATCACTCACATTTTCCATATTAGGATTGAAATTAGATCTAATATTCAAAGCTCTCTTAAAACAAGCTAAAGCTTATGTATAATGTTTGTGTTATAAATAGAATGTCCCAACTAAAAAATAAGCATTACCTGTTTAATTACTCTACATCAATTACATATTATATTTACTTCTTCTCCATAACATTTCTCTATCATTAATGTATACTCAACATATGCTTACTCACATTATCTTTAATCCCCAGTCTCATAGAATAATTAAGCCATAACTTTAAGAATATTTGAAACCTTTATCTAATCATTCTTTTATTATGTTTAAGTCAATTATTTCACCTAATCAAAAAAACTAATCAATGTTTTCCTAGCTGTTTCTAATTCAAGCAATTTAATTTATGCTTAACATATTTGATTATTCATATTTACCTCTTACTAATAACATTTAATCAGCTATTTTTTCATAGGTATCTTCTTTACCACCAATTAACTCTAATTTTTATGCAAATTCTATGGTTTTTCTTATTTATTAAATTGCATCCTAATAATCTCTTTATGATAATAATCTTATAGAAATCTATCTATAACGATCATGTTCCTCTATCAATATATCTCTTTCATTCATAATCAATTTCTTATCTGATTTAGGTTAAAATGCTTATTAAATTTCAAATCTCTATGGCTTAGATGCAGGACTCTTACTCAATGTATCATCCATCTATTTATTATCTTAATTTTTCATTGATTGACAGGATTATTAATGTGTACTCCAATGTTAACGTTAATGTTCAACAGAACAATAAAATACTGATTTACATTATGAACATCCTAATGTAGTTTTTAAAGAACACACTGCACACAAATTTAATTTACTTTACATCTTAAAATAATTATATAATTTGTTATTCAAATGTGAGAGTCCAACTTACAAAAAAGACTTGAATTCATATTCTATGATACACTACATTTTATTTCCATAAAAAATTTCTTTATCTTATTACAACCATTTAAAATTTTATAGGAGCATCTCTTAACTAATTAATTTTCTATTTTCTAATCAGATTCCTCTTTATGCTTCTTCTATTTCTTCCTTCTAAATTCTGCCCAAATCGCTTTCGCAGAGGAGTAATTTATACCTATAGAATTAGCAGCCTATCATATATTAAAAATATATATAGCACCGATTTTATCGTTTACTTTTCAGAAACTACAGCTTTCAGAAACAAATCCTTAATTGATTGTGTCACCTTTAAATATTTCTTTTACGCTAATCGTGGATCAAACTTTAACATTTCTTTCTCTACTTATTATTTGATGTCATCTAATATTTTCATAGCGGCACTTTATTAATATTAATTATATGCATATAAATATAAAAATTATAGAGTGTCTATTCAGAAAGAACCACATATGTAACCTTCTCTAATTATCTTCATTAATTCCATACCCATCTGACATTAATTTAGTCTACAACATTTTTTTTTGCATTTCCACCTTGTATAGCGAAAATTGTGAATGGGTTTTAATTCCACAATATTAATAATATCATCTCATAAATTAAATGCTATTATTATATGCATTTACTAATATCTTTATGCTTTTCCTTTAAATAACTATTTATATAATTATATAATAATTTATCAGAATTTAGAATTTAAATTAATATGTATTATCATAAAAAGCCTCTCTATAATTCACTGGCTTGTTTATACACTTATATCAATACTTCATCATTGATTGATTTCAAATTGTTTCCATAGCTTAATTATGTTAACTTCTTTTTAACAAGAAAATCTATAAGACAATGATAATTTTTAGAATTGAGATTTTAACATTCCATTGCAAAATAAAACATCAAGAATTTATCATTTTAAATACAATGAATTCAACCATATCCATATCGATTAATAGAGAATAATTAGAGTATTGATAATCAAGTATTTGTGAATTTTCATGGCTAATTTTTTAAAAATAGTTCTGGGTTATTGATAAAGAACAACAATAATAGTTTCATTTATAANATTTAATTTACTTTACATCTTAAAATAATTATATAATTTGTTATTCAAATGTGAGAGTCCAACTTACAAAAAAGACTTGAATTCATATTCTATGATACACTACATTTTATTTCCATAAAAAATTTCTTTATCTTATTACAACCATTTAAAATTTTATAGGAGCATCTCTTAACTAATTAATTTTCTATTTTCTAATCAGATTCCTCTTTATGCTTCTTCTATTTCTTCCTTCTAAATTCTGCCCAAATCGCTTTCGCAGAGGAGTAATTTATACCTATAGAATTAGCAGCCTATCATATATTAAAAATATATATAGCACCGATTTTATCGTTTACTTTTCAGAAACTACAGCTTTCAGAAACAAATCCTTAATTGATTGTGTCACCTTTAAATATTTCTTTTACGCTAATCGTGGATCAAACTTTAACATTTCTTTCTCTACTTATTATTTGATGTCATCTAATATTTTCATAGCGGCACTTTATTAATATTAATTATATGCATATAAATATAAAAATTATAGAGTGTCTATTCAGAAAGAACCACATATGTAACCTTCTCTAATTATCTTCATTAATTCCATACCCATCTGACATTAATTTAGTCTACAACATTTTTTTTTGCATTTCCACCTTGTATAGCGAAAATTGTGAATGGGTTTTAATTCCACAATATTAATAATATCATCTCATAAATTAAATGCTATTATTATATGCATTTACTAATATCTTTATGCTTTTCCTTTAAATAACTATTTATATAATTATATAATAATTTATCAGAATTTAGAATTTAAATTAATATGTATTATCATAAAAAGCCTCTCTATAATTCACTGGCTTGTTTATACACTTATATCAATACTTCATCATTGATTGATTTCAAATTGTTTCCATAGCTTAATTATGTTAACTTCTTTTTAACAAGAAAATCTATAAGACAATGATAATTTTTAGAATTGAGATTTTAACATTCCATTGCAAAATAAAACATCAAGAATTTATCATTTTAAATACAATGAATTCAACCATATCCATATCGATTAATAGAGAATAATTAGAGTATTGATAATCAAGTATTTGTGAATTTTCATGGCTAATTTTTTAAAAATAGTTCTGGGTTATTGATAAAGAACAACAATAATAGTTTCATTTATATAGAATAACCCTCAGAAATGTAACCATAATTGCTTTTACTAAAATCATTTAATCAAATGTTATCAATTCTTATTATATGTTAGTATGATGAGACTAGCAATATCATTGTTATATAATATACCAGAAAAAAGTCTTTGAAATAAAACAGACACCTTTTAGAAACCAAATAAAAGTAGTATAAGGATTAATATGTTTAACACATACACATATATCATAATTTCATATTTTTTCTTAAACCATTGTTAAGGATTTCTGAGTATACTATTACTTTTATAGAAATGAATTTCAAAAAAAACAGATATATTTTGTATGTACACTAGAAATCATGAATATATCTTCCAGCAATGATTCTGTACATCAATCTATTCGTTCATTTTAATATTCTTCTGAAGGATCAAGATTTTCATCTTCTTTAATATAAAAGTTCTCATACAATCCAAATGGTGCTCCCTATCCTGTGAATGATTTAAAAATATTATTATTATTATCATTATTCTACTAGATAAAATTTTAATTATTAATTCTAGGCTGTTGTTCTTGTATTTGTCCTTTAAAATAATTGAATACAATATGTTCATCATCCTAAGAATGTTCATTGAGAGGTCCTTTTTTAAGCTTAAGAAAAGATTGCATTGATTACTTCAAGATTTATATAATGAAAAATATAGTATTAATATAAAATATATATATATAATTAAAAGTGATTCATATAATTAAATTATTAAATTATTATTTTGAACTTAAATTTCCCAATTATTTAACATTTACTACAATTACGATTTCAAATAAACTTGGCCAACCCAGTATTGATGAATCATTTGAAGTTAGAGATAACAACATATTTGTTAGTAGAATTACTCATTTATTTTAAGAAAAATCAATATTTAGAGATACAATTATTAAAGAGTATGAAAAGATTAATTTTGAGGATTGTTTTAATTATGTTTATTTTTGTGTCGATGGTTGTTTTTATGTTATTAGAGAACTTGTTTAGGTTGCTATTTTGGATGGATATATTAAAAATATACTTTTACATGATAAAGAGTCTCTCTAATAAATATATAAAGTTAAAATACTATTGTTTTATCTGAACCTATTTGTTTTGATTATATTGAAGAATGTTAAAAAATGCTTATAGGGAAGTTTTATTTTATGTATAATGTTTATAAATAATGGCCAAAGTAAGTAAGATTGATATAATTAAAAGAAAAGTTGATATGAAAAAGAAAGAAAGAAAAAGCAGTTCTTAAATTAATACTTCACGTCTTAGGATTTATTTATCTATTGGAATTAAATGCTTCTCATGATTTAGGATCTCCTAGATCAATTGTTTTATCTCAATAGCTATTTGAATTTTGATTACCACATATATAACTTCTATCAGTTCTTTAAGATTGTAAGCATGGGAAAGATTAAATTTCCATTAATTTTGGCATTAAAAAGAGACATCTTTGAAGTCACTAAAAAATTTCTTATTCTTTACATTCTTGTATACTATTAGTATGAGTAAGGAATTTAAACATGGATTCTAAATTTGATCAATGCTTTCTATTTGATATAGATAATATATTTTAAAAAGTTAGACTTAGATAGTG